TATATATATATATATAACAAAGAAAACTTCATAACTTTTAAGTTTTAAATAATAAATATCAGGTATAAATTATTAATTGTCAACTTTAAGACATACAAAAAGAAAACTACAACATGATTAATGCATACACACTAATCATAAACAACTATTCTATATAAAATATAAATTCAACATGGATGAGATATACTCTTTTAGTAATTTATATAATGTTTTCTTTATAATAGTTAATTTACAATTGTACCCTCTCGACTATTTGCAGAGAGGCCCTAGCCAAGAGGATTGGTTGAATGGTCCGCCAATTGTATCCCTGATAAGTCGAGTAGCTGACCCCTAAGGCATGTCGACAAAAATGTAATCTGAAACTCATATCTGAAACAAAATCTTATCTTTATTTATCAGGATCATGCATCAATAAGTAATTACCTTACTAAATTTCGAGATTTCTAAAGCACATAAACTCACAATAGTCAAGTATAAAAATTGTAACCTTAGAGTAATGACAGGCATATTATACTTTTGAACACTCTACCTTTGATGGCACGTCTAAAAAATCTTAGACATCTTTCAAACCAAAACAATAATATTTTTCTTTATTTTTTTTATAAAAAAATATACTTAATAATAGCCATGAATTATATATATTTGAGTTAAATAAATAATAAATGAATACATTATTCTCTTATGTTCTTTCAAATACATGTACAAGGGTTTAACTTTGCCCTTTTGTATGCAAATGCAACCTTACTTTACATTTTTTCATGCATATTACTAATAAGAAAATGAAAACGAGTATTAAAAAAAAATAATAAGAGTATGCCTCGTAAATATTAAATGTAATCCAAAGAATTATAAATTAAAAATAATATAATATTATGTAACTATTTTTTTAAAGTTGATTAATTGAATATTAGAACTAATGAAATATAGTATAACAAATTTGATTTATATAAAGAGATAAGTTTTTACTTTAGAGAATAAAATGTAATAATAATCGTTGATTAAAAAATTAATTATAAATATTATAGTTAATTTTTAGATTTTATTATATATATATATATATATTTATTTATTTATTTATATCATGATTATTAATCATTAATTTTTTAATCAATAATTGTGAATACACTTTATCTTTTTCACTTTAGAGGAATTCAATTCAAATATAATGCCTTGATTTCTCTCATGTTAAAAAGGGGCAATAAACAAATAAAAACTTAGAGTGTGTTTGGATTAAAAATTTAAATAGAGTAACTCATTTATTTGAAGAATTTTAAATTCTTTAAAATGAAATACTTAGTTTAGATGAAGAATTTACAAAAAAATTTAAAATCCAAGTATTTGTGAAATGTCTTAAATTAGTAGAATTTTAAATTTTCCTAAAAAAGTAAGAATTTGAATTTTTTTTCTTCTTATTTCGCTTATATACTTTATTTTATCTCTTATCTCTTCATGTTTTTAATTATTAAATATTTAAAAATATTAAATATTATTTAATATTAATTTTTAAAATTATTAAATATTTTATAATTAGCTAATATTTATTTTTATAAAATTTAATTTAAAAATCCTAACATATAAATATATTCTTAAAATAAATTTTACCTTGGTGGAATCAAATTAGTTTACCCAAATTAATAATTTAAAATTTAAGAAATTTAAATTAATTTATCCAAATAAAATATTTTAAGAATGATAAAAATTGAAATCAAAGTAATTCAAATACTAAAAATTTTAAATTTGTAAAATTTTTAGGTTAAAACAAGTCGAGGTCCATCTTTGAGTCCTATGTTAATATTAGTATCCATTGCTTACATAATTTATACATGGATACCACAACAATTTTTTGTTTTCTTTATATATTTATTGGTTAAATGATAATATAATAATCGGATTCTGAAACGAGGATGTTTCAAAACATTATGAATAAAAAATTAAAAAGTTTTACACATGAATTAATGTTGATCTGAATTTTGCGGCAAGTGAGATATTCTGAGCAAATTATATTGTCACGGATAGCGCATGATCGCTTGCAAGAAATAAATGATATGTCTCCATGCTACTTCTAATTTGTAACGTATGTTCCTCTTGGTGCAGTTTTTATAAGCAGCAAAGAATGTATCATGCTCTTGCATCCGGATCACGGTCTTAACGCATTTCTTCGAAAAAGTTGTATAATAAGGAGGCTGAAAAACGCATGGAGGAAGTGGAATTTGGAAAGCATGAACAGAATTTCGAGCAGTTTCTGATGGGTTGAAGTTGTGCTGTTTTGGAAAACTTTCTGCAGCAGTTACCTTGGTCACACCAGGTTTTCTTTCCCATGACAAGGGTATATATCTTTCCCAATGGGGAATGAGTTCTTGGTAGACCCATATTGTCTAAAAGTTCATGCCTTCATCTTCATGGAACTTAGGAAGAGTGTTACAGATCAATATATGATCGAGGTGGTGAATTGAAGTTTGATTTATTCTATTATGTAACATAGGTCTTAACAAACATAGCATCTCAAGGGACAAGCGCATTAAACATGAAAATAGACGATTAATTTTTTACTTTCAATCAAAATTTACAAAGAGTTAGAGAATGAAGACCAAGCTCATAGGGTACTCAAAGAAGATAATAATGAAGAGTTAAGAATGGTATAAAACAAATACTTGGTGGTTAACGTGGTTCATACAGGGGGAAAAATCTAAATCTTAAAACTGACCGGTCACTAATAAAGACTATTAAAACAAGATATTATGCAATACTGCATAAAACGTAAATAACTTCTATACCTGCTTGAGGGTACACTCGTAGTCTTCTTAGTGAGAAGGGCCGAACGGATACTTCAAACGAACTCTTCAGAGGGAGGAGGTCCCTGCCAAAGGCACTCCGACGCTCAAGTTAGGACAAACACGATATTCTGGGGTAATTAATAAACAGTGACGTACTTCGTTACGTGTGACCTATTTATAATATCTGACATGGGCCTGTTCTAATCTTTACCAAATTAGGTAATACGATGCTAATCAGCTAATCATGTCTTAATTATGCACTTGTCCTTGTTAACTGTGATTTGTACTATAACCCGTTAACCTATCGGCACATCGCCAGCCGACAGGCTAATGTTTGGGAGGTTGCATGTCTTTGGCTGTTGACCGAGCCGATACGTAGTATGTGGGATGCATCATGCTGTTTGCATCGGCCTTCAACCGAACCGACATGTGCCAGTTGACTAATCTCGGCCTTCGACTATAAGCCGAGCCGATGCTATCGTCAGCCCTGTGTATTGTCCAGTTCGCATGGATGTCTGACGAAACGGCACGTGTTGGTCAACGTGACCGACAGGGTCCTCCCGGTACAACTTCAAAAAAATTATTAGATTCTTTGAAGAAGAAAAAAATATATCGAAACAAGTTCATAATTCTTTGAAGAAAATGAAATTTTTTTCATAACCGCAATGAAAAATGTTGAATAATTTTGGGATGTTTTCCTGCCTTGGCCAATAACCGGTACCGGTAGCCTAAAAAAAATGTTGAATCAATTAGATATTTGTTATTTTTAATTTAAAAAATTTTATACAACTATTAATTTTTTCTATTGGTATTGGGATATCATGGTGTTCAAAATCATTGCAGTAACTATTTGGTTATTTTCAAACACGACTTTTACGAGTTATTTAACATTCGTGTATTCTTAAACTTTGTGAATACTATTCTAAACTAGGATGTCATTATTTTTTTATTTTTTTTTTGGGGATTTAGAGTTTAGGGTAAAAATCTTTTCTCCCCTCTACCGCTTCCATTTCTTATATTTTCAATTAAGATTTAAAATCACAATAGAGGTGGTCAATTACTCATCATTATATCGTTTAAATCCTATTTTTGCTAATAAAGATATTTACACATTGAAAAATCCTTTATCTTAATATTTTCTCCTTAAGTAGTTTTACTTTTTACTTAAATTTATAATACCTTTAAAATAGCCGGAGTACTTACTATTCTTATATATTAAGGCTAATATGTAGGTAGGCATAAACGAACTTCATTAGCTTCATTCTCACTTTCGATATCTTAACCAATAAATATATATATAATTTATGACTTTAGCATGAGTTCACAAAGGGACGAGTAAACCTACCTAGCCAAATGATTATCCTAGCTAAAATACTTATAAGATATTTATATTTATTTATCTATATATAATTCCTTTATTAAAGTTCATTTATTGCTTCTTTGTTTTTTAAGAATACACATCATCAATATTTTAATTAGTCACAACAGCCCTGCAATTACAATTAAACAATGCTCATAACATCGTCGGAGAACTTACAAGAAAAAATATCCAAATACTTCATTATCCTGGGCGAAGATCCATTATTTTTATGAGTCTTACTTGACCGTTTATGCATAATGGGGTCTTTGGGGGTTTGGGTG